CATGACAAAAACCTTCAGCAAACTAGACATAGAAAGAACAAACCTCAAAATAATAAAAGCTATATATATGACAAACCCACACCCAACATCATACTGAATGGGGAAAAGTTGAAAGCATTCCCCCTAAGAACTGGAACAAAAGTACCCACTATCTCTACTTCTATTCAACATAGTACTGGAAGTCTTTCCCAGAGCAATCAGGCAAGAGAAAGAAATAAAGGGTATCCAAATTGGGAAAGAGGAGGTCAAACTATCCCTGTTTGCTGATGATATGGTCTTGTATCTAGAAAATGCTAAAGACTCCATGAAAAGATTCCTAGAATTGATACAAGTAATGGGAGGGCATAATTAGGAATATTTTGTTATCATAAGGTACTTAAACTACCCATGAAGGAGAATAGTATTATTTGAAAGGGACTTGGATTGGTTATAAATGTATATGACAAACTCTAGGACAACCACTAAAAAACCTTTAAAAAAAAAAAATAAATAAATAAATATATATATATATATGTTTTGCTGTTGTTGAACTGGGGTCTCAGCTGGTTTCAAACTCTTGCCTTCAAGCAATCTTCCCATCTCAGCCTCCCAAAGCACTGGGATTACAGGTATGAGCCACCACACCCAGCCCCAAATAAGAACTATAAAAATGCAATGACATAAATTGCTCAATTAAAACCAAAAGAGGCAGAAAAGGAGTGCAAGACAGTGAATAGGAAACAGTAACAAATACCATAGAAATTAATCCAACTATATCAATACTTACTTTAATCTTCAATGGCCTAACTATAGCAATCAAAGACACAAATTGTCACAGTGGACGAAAAAACAATACCCAACTGTATGTTGTCTACAGAAACCCACTTTAAATATGGAGATACATATTGCTTAAAAGTAAAGAGATGGAGAAAGACATACACCATGCCAACACTAATGAAAAGAAAGCAGGAATACCTATATTGATTTCAGACAGAGCAGAGTCACAGCAAGAAAAAGTTATCAGGGATAAAGATGGGGGAATTATTAATAAAATGATAAAAGGGTCAATTCTCCAAGAAGACATGACAATCTTTAATGTGTGTGTATCTAACAACAGAGCAGCAAAATATGTAAGGCAAAAACTAATAGAACTGGAAGGAGAAATAGATGAATTTATTATTATAGTTGGAGACTTCAACACCCTTCTATCAGAAATGGACAGATCCAGCAGGCCTAAAATCAGTGAGGACATAGTTGAACTCAATAATATTAATGCCATCAATCTGCTGAATATAATGAAACATGTATAGACTCCTTCACCCAACAATGGCAGAATACTCATTCTCTCAAGCTCACATGGAGCATTCACAAAGATAGATCCCATTCTGGGCCATAAGATACACCTTAACAAAAGAATAGAAATCATACAATGTATGCTTTGAAACCACAATGGAATTAAACTAGAAATTAATTAGAGAAAATAGCTAGAAAATCCAAAAATATTTGGAGATTAACAACATGCTTCTAAATAACACAGAGTCCAAAAAAGAAATCTCAAGAAAAATCAAAATATGTTTTTAACTAAATAAAAAAGAAAATACAACTTAAAATTTGTGGCATGTAGCAAAAGCATTGCTTAGAGGGAAATTTCCAGCTTTGAATGCAAGTATAAGAAAAAAAAAAAAAAGAGCAAAAATCAATAATCTAAGCTTCTGCTTTAGGAAACTAGAAAAAGAAAAACAAACTAAATCCAAAGTAAGCAGAAGAAAAGAAATAACAAAAATTAGAGAAGGAAGCAATAAAATTGAAACCAGGAAATCAACAGGGAACATTAACAAAAACAAAAAGCTGGTTCTTTGAAAAGATCAATAAAAATCAATAAGCCTCTAGCCAGGCTAATTAAAGCTTACTAGCCCCTGAGATGAGACTCAGGTGTTTGCCTTATATTGGCAATCAATAAGCAACTACTTACGCCAGACAAGTAGACAAAAATATTAGCAGCATTTCCTTTCTTTCATTCAATCGATCAATTTTTTTTAACCCTTTGCACTTGGATGTCGAGTGTGGATAATGTCGAGTGGATAATGAGAAAAAAGCAAGCGAGTGCAAAGGGTTAAAAAACACTACTGAGCACCTACTATGTGACAGACACTGTTCTAAGAGCTTAGGATGTATCAGTGAACAACAAATAAACTGTATAGTATGTATGCAAGAAAACAGTAGATTAAGAAGAGGACTAGGAGTTGGGTAATTCTTCTTTATTTTGTTACAAATATATATATAGATATCAAATACTATTATTTTCTTCCCTTTCTTATTCCCTTATCATATAACATAAGGTCTATTAATAATAGGTAATTTTATATCACAGTATCTAAATTCAGGACATAAAAGAGTGAACCTCACCAAGGACTTTTCATCCTCTTTGGGGGAAAGGGTTGGCACGTTTTCCACTGCACATAGGATAACTGTATCATGTTAGGCAGAAGTATGATTTTGTCATTGTCTTATTTAGAGATTAATTATGGCTTAAAGAAAAGCGTATGGGTGTCAAGTTGATAAGAGGGTAAACTGTAATAGTTCCACTTGTCAATATGAGTAGGCCATCATACCCACTTATTCAAGCAAACACTAATCTAAGTGGTCCTGTGAAGATACTGTATAAGCTGTGATTAACATCTACAATCAGTTGACTTTCAGGAAAAGAGATTACCCTCTGGAATCTGAGTGGGCCTTATCCAATCAGTTGAAAAGCCTTAAAAGCAGAACTGAGGTTTCCCTGAGGAAGAAGACATTTGCCTGTGGACCTCAGCGTCAGCTCCTCCCAAAGGTTTCCAGTCTGCCAACCTGACCTACAAATTTTGGACACGCTTAACCAACCCCCACAATTATGTATCCATCTCCTAATATATAAACATCCTACTGGCTTTGTTTCTCTGGTATAACCCTGACTGATACTGGTAGCTACAGAGAGAAAATGACATTTGGGCAAAGACTTGCAGCCAAGCCTGGCATGTACAAGGAACAGCAAAGAGGCCAGTGTGACCAGATAAGAGTGAGCAAGGGGGAGAGAAGCAGGAGAGGAGATTGCCTTTTTTTTTTTTTTTTTTTTTTTGAGACACAGTCTCACTCTGTCGCCTTGGCTATAGTGCAGTGGCGTCATCATAGCTCACTGCAACCTTAAACTCTTGGGCTCAAACGATCCTCCTGCCTCAGCCTCTAGAGTAGCTGGGACTACAGGTGCACGCCACCATGCCTGGCTAATTTTTCTATTTTTTGTAGAGATGGGAATCTCGCTCTTGCTCAGGCTGGTCTTGACCTCCTAACCTCAAGTGATCCTCCAACCTCAGCCTCCCAGAGTGCTAGAATTAAACGCATGAGTCACCACACTCAGCCATACTTTATTAACCATAAAAAGCAGGGAAAGTGCAGGCTAAGAGTTGAAAGGTCTCTTTCAGTATTTTTTGTGTTTTTTGGTTTTTTTTTTTTTTTGAGACAGAGTCTCACTTTGTTGCCCAGGCTAGAGTGAGTGCCGTGGTGTCAGCCTAGCTCACAGCAACCTCAAACTCCTGGGCTCAAGCAATCCTCCTGCCTCAGCTTCCCGAGTAGCTGGGACTACAGACATGCGCCACTATGCCCGGCTAATTTTTTCTATATATATTAGTTGGCCAATTAATTTCTTTCTATTTATAGTAGAGACGGGGTCTCGCTCTTGCTCAGGCTGGTTTTGAACTCCTGACCTCGAGTAATCCGTCCGCCTCAGCCTCCCAGAGTGCTAGGATTACAGGTGTGAGCCACCGCGCCCAGTCCTTTAGTATTTTTTGTATCATAAGCCAAGCCCACATCATGACTAAAAAAGAAGCTGCCATCATACAAATGTCTCTCCTTCTCTAACAGGATACAAATGAACAGTCCCCCTCCCCACTATTGGCAAAAGCTTCTGGTTGCTACAAAAAGATCACCTGCAGTTAACTCATTTGACATGTGGTGCATATATGCAGAGTACCCACTGTGAGCTGCAGCATGCTGGGAGTTTCTCCCTTAAGGGTATGGGACCCTGCAGCCAGGTCAGTGGGGGCCCCGCCATCCAAACATGGATCAAGGAATGGCTGGCCACCTTCAGGCAGAGGGACAGCATATGTTGTCATCTTTGTGTAAGATAAAAGTTTGCTATGTGGAGGGTAGGGTCTCTAAGTAGCCCCACCAAAGTCTAGTTGAAGAAATAATAACCAGACACCACCCAAAGCAGATAATGGTGAGCTGGGAGCATTAAAGCTGATAAAACACCTCATCAAGGCTTCCCAGCTTCTCATTTCTCTCTGCAAAAGGGAGAATACCAAATTTTCCATACTACAAAAGTTATCAGAATAATAATAATTTTAAGAATATTTATTAACTTGGGAAGATGTTCATGATTATGTAAAATGAAAGAAAGGCAACACAACCACATCTGTTGTACACACAGATTCTTAGAGGCATCTCAACTTCATAAATATTAACATGTGAAAAAACTGAATTTCTTCATCTTCAGGAAATAGGATATACACAAAGAAAAGAGTTGAATGCACACAAAAAATATGGAACAATGCTATGTGGTCAGTGGGATTACAGGTAATTTTTATTTTCTTCTTTCTGCTTCCTGCATCTTCTATTACTATAATAATATTGCTCAAATAACAAAATTATTTATGATTTATAAGTAAAAACTCTTTCATGTATGTGAAGCACTTCCAGCTCCTTCCCAACCCCTTCAAAAAAGTGATCTGACACTTGCAATCTCAGGCAAGTTGGAACAGAGCTTTTCCAACCTACTCTTACATATGGGAAAGCACGGAGCTCAAAGGAGTTAAGTAACTTACTCGATGTCATACATTACATCGTGGTTTGCAATCCAGCCAAGACAGGAGTCTGGGGGTATCCTGAAAGTCCCCTCCAAGACAGCACACTAGCTTTGTGCCATTTCCTCAGTCCATGCACCCCCTAGAAATGCGGCCCAAGATGAGCTAACCCCTTGCCCTTACCTCTGCCAGGCGCGAGTGCTTGTGGACATTCTCGCCTTTTTGCACGCTAGGAGCCAGCTGCTGCAGGACACCCCTGCTGCTTGTCAATGCTCTGGTCAGCCGAGCAAACTTCCCCCAGCCTGAAGCATGTGGAAGAGTGAAAAGACAGGGTCAACCACATCCTGAAGGAGCACAGACATTCACATCACCTGTCACAATGTCAGAACCGACCCTCGACGTCATCGTGAACTCCCGTGAGTCACTCACTCCGCATCCCCTCGAGCAAGACTCACTGCTCAGAAAAGCACCTTGACACACTCAAAAGTGTGTAGCAATTTGCTTTTCCCATGCACTTCCATCCTATCCTACTCATAGCTTTGTGGAGTGTGTAAGGCAGGTTTTAGCATCATTGTACTATTAGGGAAGCCAAGGCTCAGAGTGACTAGACAATGAGAAAGAGTCTGGAACTCAGATCTCTCGACCCTGGCCCAAGGCTTTTCCACCAGGTAATAACAGACATTAGAGATGCTTCTCTGCCTTGGTGACTTGGCTCAGGCTGTTCCCGATCCCCCTGCTGTCTGACCTTCCAGAAACTGAGCTGGTTCTGCGTTTTAAATGGACAAGCTAGTCAAATGTCCATTCCATGATTACTTTATCTGAGGCTAGGGGAATAAGAAATGAATTCAACCCCCGGGGAGGTGAGAAAAGCCCCAGCAGATTTTAGTCTGCTTCGGGATGGGGGAAGGATGGTTCGTGACAGGTCATTTACTGAGAATCTAAGATGTCTGAGCGATCTTGACTGCTTTTAAAGGCCCCCAAAGACAATCGTCCATTTTAACATCCTAAAACCCATCTGCGTCGAAGTTATGACCATGGCAGTCGCCCCATGAGACCTTTGAAAGCCTGTCAGGGTCTTCAAGACAAGGCTTCGGTTTCAGGAGCTCCAAAAACCACAAGTATATAGCAAATAAGCAGAGCATGCGACTATTTTTACATGACAGCTAAAAGCAGAACTAGGCGATTTTATTTTTTTATCCTTTAGAGTTTACAAGCATTCAGCACCTTCCAGCAGAAGTCTCATCTGCTAAATTTTCCCCTGGAGCACCTTTCCGAGACAGACTTAGAATCCAGAGGACAATAGAGTTAAGCAGAAAAATGGCCTTTATTGTTTTTTCTGCACAACCTTTAAAAATCATGATCTAGATTGATTTTTGTCAACATAGCAAGAATAGCAAATCAGTTCTTTTTTTTTTCTCTTTTAATCTTATTCCAGAAGTGCTGGGCTTTAATAAAAAGCTAGTGGCGCTTTCATCTACCCTGATGCCATGAAGCAGAGATGCAGAACTGCTGGAGTCAGCTTGAAAAGAGATGTGTAGCGGCTGGACTGTGGGGGTCCCATTAAAGTTAACAGGAGGGCATAGCACATCCTCCACGGGGCTCTTTGACATCTCCCCAAATGCACCATTTAGGAATGTGCTGTGGGAACTGTGAAGTTAAGATTTCTTAGAGTCTCAGAGTCAGGCTCTGCTTTGGCCCAAAACAAAGCTGGAATTGAATTCTGCAAAGCTTTTCAAGAAGAGCAGAAGTTGATTTTTCAATCAGGTAGAAAACAGTCATACATGCAAATATCCTCAAGGGCTCAGCGTCCACCCTACGACTACCACTACTGCAACTCACACTGTGGGGACAATGATGAGAGGAAGAAGCCAGGGCAGACACCTTAGACCCCACCTGGGAGGGAGCTCAGGGCCCAGGTCCATCAGCTGATATAGCATAAAAAGATGAAAAGGAAGATCCCTGGACCACTGGACATTTCCCTGTGCTCAGACCGGCCTCTCACTCTCTGGCCTATCCCTGATTCTCTTTCCAAGAAGCAGCTCTTGAAGGAGCTGGCTCTCAGCAGGCTGAGCAGAGGGCGTGGGAAGCCGAGTGGGTGTAGGATGGGAAATGAATGGGCAGTGTGAATGTCACGCTTCCACCCAGGATGGCAAGCTCTGCATGTACTGAAAGAAGGAAATTCTTTCCCAAATTCCCAACCCCGTATTTTCCTTTCTGTTCTACAAATACTTGATAATAGCAATCATGCCTAGCCAGATAATAGATTCATTTATTCATGTATTAATTCTATAAGCATAATTACTATGTACCAGGCACTAGAGATACTAACATGAATAAGAAATTGGCCTCAGACAGCACATACTCTAGTAGGGAAGACTGACAAATAAATAAAAAAATCATGATATGGTAAGCTAAGTGCCATGACAGAGATGGGGACAGGAAGCTATGACCAAGACTGTCCACAGAAGGCACATCTAATCCAGGCCAGGGAATCAAGGAAGGTTTCCTGGAGGGGGTAACACTAGAGCAAAATTTTGAAAGATGAGTAACAGACTCAAGAAGGAAAAAAAGACATTCCACATAGAAGGAACAGCACCTACAAAGGCAGAAAATCATAAAACAAGGTACTATGTGAGGCCGGGCACGCCTGTAATCCTAGCACTCTGGGAGGCCGAGGCAGGAGGATTGCTCAAAGTCAGGAGTTGGAAACCAGTCTGAGTAAGAGAGACCCCTTCTCTACTAAAAATAGAAAGAAATTAATTGGCCAACTAAAAATATATATAGAAAAAAAAATTAGCCAGGCATGGTGGCAACATATCTGTAGTCCCAGCTACTGGGACTACAGGAGGCTGAGGCAGGAGGATCACTTAAGCCTAGGAGTTTGAGGTTGCTGTGAGCGAGGCTGATGCCAAGTCACTCTAGCCTGGGCAACAAAAGTGAAACTTTGTCTCAAAAAAAAAAAAAGAGGTACTATGTGAGTGAAGAGTGAAACATTCAGCATGGCTGGATGGATGGGTGTGGCTTACAAAGGGGAGAGGCAGCTGAGAGTGGCCTGAAGTGGTGCTATAGAGGCCAACAGGGGCCAGACTGGGAGAACCTAGGCAGCAAAAACATAGACAGTAAGTTAAGAAATTTGAATTTCATCCTAAAGCCCACAGGGAGCCAGCAGAGTCTAAATATGGTAAGGAGAGACATACATACCAATTTCCATTTCAGAAGGCCAGGACAACAGTATGAATAGTGGACTAAAAAAAAAAAAAAGTTGGCATATAGAAGATAGGTCAGGACCCCAGGCAAGAGACCGTGCAGGCCTAGACCAATGCTGTGGCCTGGGCCGGGGGACAGGGGAGACTTGAGAGCCACTACAGAGGCAGAATCAACAAGACTCTGAAAAACAGCTGTAGAGAGAAAGAAGAGGCAATCCAGGTGGCTCGTGAGTTTCTGGTTTGGGTGACTGGGGTGACAGCTATTCAATGAGGTTAAAAACACACGAAGAGAAAAACAATTTGATGGGAGATAATAGGTACAATTTAGACCAATGATGTCCCTTACAGCAGAGCCATCAGGGAACCATTTCTAGAGAGATTGAAGCTCCCATTGTCCAAAAGGTCAACTGGGAGGGGACAACCCAATGAGAATCTAGCTCAGGATGGTCTTGCTGAGGGAAGCCAGATGGTCATTTTCCACAGTGACAATGAGGCAGCTGACTCGCCCTCCTCCCTCAAGGAAGCCTTTCCCAGATGCCGCCGTACCCTTTGCCTGTCCCCTCTCTTATACCCCCACTTGCGCTACGCAGACTTCTATTAGATCACTGATTATGCTTAATGGTTCTTATTTCCTCACCTGTCTGCCTCTTCTCCCACGTAGACTCAGACAAGCAGAGGCCCCATCTCAGACACTGTCTGTGTCCAGGACATTTCCTTGTGTACAGACATGAGGCCAGATACCCAAAAGATACCCAACAAGTGTGTGTGTGTCACATAAACATGGATACAGGACAATATTTTTTCCTCTCACTTCTCTACTTCTGTCTAGGCTTCCCAGAGATCTAAAGTCCCAAAGATAAGCAGCCCAATTCATAAACTCTGTTTAGTTTTAGGGGGAATTTCTGTGCCCACTCCTCCAATTGTATCCCATCGGTAAGTGCAACATCGAACTGAGCTCAAACGAAGAACCCTTGGCCCAGGGTTCTTCCAGCTCTGTCACAAATGTCACCAGCAAAGTCGGCACAGCAGGGCTGTGGGTGCCATGGAAAGATAGAAGGCATCACGTGACCAGGCTAAGGCGAGGGGGTGGGCAGGAGGGGAAGAGGAAAGCTGAAAAGGAAAGACAGAAGGAGAGGCACACAGAGTGCAATCAGCAACCAGCAAAAATGTATTTCCTGGGTCCTTTCTCCATTCTCAGGAAGGACGACTGCTTCCCCCTGCCTTGACCCCACAGTGGCTGAAGTGGCTGCTGGGTTTCAACTGTCTGAGGCACCAGTGAGGGTACTATATAGCCCATACATCCCTCCAGGCCAAAAGAGATGGTTCTGGGATAGGTTAACATTTTAGCTCCTCTGAGAATAAGTCTGAGAACAATAGAAAAGACAGAGGCCAGCCTTATCGTGATATACAAAGTCATAAATTCTCTTAGAGGAGTTGATGCCATAACCAACGTCCAGCAGATAATAGTGGAGAAAGGGTACCAGGATGGACAGTCAGTGTGGACCACTGCCTAAATGTCCTTGAGTCTCCGCCCACAATCTCTTCCCTACCAATGTATTACACAAATAACCAAAAATCAAGGATGGCTCCTTCCAGTAGCAGTCACTAAATCATCACTTTTCCGTCATCCTAAGGGATAGAGATAAAATGTTACTACAGGGGGAAGGTCGTGGCTTGTTATCTATGACTTTGTGTCTTTCCCAAGAGTGGCTTATAAATATCCCACATGAAGGCACATGGAGAAGATTGGCAGTTACAACAGCTTGCCAGAGCCTTCATCCTTCAATATTCTAAATCTTTGGCTCTTAAAAATCTTCTCTAAGGTTTTACATTCCTTTTGTTGCCTGATTTTGGCTCAAGTTTAACTCTGAATTTAGAAGTAAATACATGGACCTTTCAAAATGAATTCACTCCTTTAATAGGAGAGATTACTTCATGGGGTAAAAGAGAAAACAAAAGGGGTGACTCATCTTTTGGTGAGCAACATAAAGAAAACTCTGAGCGTTACATTTTAATTCTTCTCTACCCATTTGCCCAGGCCTCCTCGGAAGAGAGAATGGAACAGAAACATACCCTGCAGCCTACTCCCAATTATCTTTAATAACAGAAAAGCAAGAGATAAGGAAAAAATGAAACTGCTGGAGCATCACGGATTCTCATTGTAGCCAAGAATTCCCACCTAATCTCTTATTCAGCCTTTACACACACACACACACACACACACACACACACACACACACACACACATACACCCCACCTGTTACCGAACAGCAAACCTAGCTTGCATTCCCTGCCCCATGCCATCCGTGGGCACTGTTTGTCAGAGAGTAACAGAATTAGTCAGAAGGCAGACATCAAAGCAAAGATGAGGAAGTCAGGGGCCTGGATAACTCATAAAAAGGACAGTGAGAACTGATGCATCAAATCAAAGAGGAGGCTCAGGAACCATTCCTAGGACCCCATCAGCTGTGCCGGGGGCAGAAGGGGACTTACTCTGTGTCAGATGCTGAAATAATCCACTGGCAATTATCCCATGTGTTGGCCCCTTTGTGGGTAGTTTGTGGGAAAATGCAATGCACAAACTGGCTTACTATCAAGATGCACTCATTCCACCCAACTCCCCAAGTTAGACATTAAATGGTCATAGAAAACACAGTAATTATAAAGACAATTTGGCACCATTGATTTAAAAGGCTAATTTGATGGTGGGAAGACATCCCATGCAGCTACGCCATGGAACAATTACCTGGGAATTTCCTGGGGTTTTAGATTTTCCACCCTTCCATTCCATCTCAAAAGTGAATTTTAAACAAGCCTGGATCAGCAACACTCTTAAGACTTTTAATGCTGACTGAGGTGCTGTACTGAAAACCCAGCTGGTCTGCTGGAAACGAACTGCTGAGAACACATCCAAGAAGAAATGTCAAGCCAGGATTACAATCCAACCATATAGCTGCGTATTTTCTTGGGTCTAGATTTGATCCTTGCAGCCAGAACTGCAGTTTATAGACGCACAACTCACAAGGCCTGGAGAATTATCATGTCCTTCCATCATAAACATACTAATATAAAATTTGACTTTGACCTAAGCAGACCACCAGAACACAGCAGGATAGGGGCACGGTGACATGGCACGTGGGGAGGGTCTGAACATATCTGCCATGGCATTTGAAACGGACAGGCTTACAAAGTCACGTCTTTGAAGAGACATTAAGCATGGTCTACTATAAAAGCAGGATTCCTATATTAAGGGCTAAAGAGTGTGTGTGTGTGTGTGTGTGTTTTAAATTTTTACATATCAAGCCACAAGCTATTCTTATTTCACTGACAAAGAGAATTAATACCTGGCTTTCTCAGGTAAGAGGGAATAAGGTAAGACTGTGTGTATGTACTCATGAGGGTCTGTATGTGTGTGTGTGTGTATGTGTGTGTGTGTGTGTACTAAAACTTGTCAGCAAAGAAATACATCATTGAGGCAGGTTAAATGAAGTGGAACATTTTATTGCTGGAAAATAAACCTAAGTGAGTCTCACTACATCACTCTGATTTATCTCCTTTCAAACTTCATGAGAATCAAAGGCAGGCACCTAGGTGGCAGGAAAGGAGCATTCCCTGTTAGGTATGCCTTTCCTACTAAATAACACTTGCACATCACCTACAGAGGTGTGATAAAAAGAAAACATGTGACTCAACCAAATCACATATCTTAAATTTTTAAGAGAAAACTTGCAAAACTGAGTGTCAAAATATCCAATTGCCTTTAAAAAATTATGTATGAGTTTATTAGGTTGAAAAAGCAACTGGCCTTTCTATATAGTAACCAGATGACATTGTATCATGAGTAAAACTGACTGCAATGTAATACCTATTGCACTGAGAAATCTTCAAATCAGGCAATCTAGAAATCAGGCAATCTAGAAATCAGGCAATCACGAATCTCTAAGAAAAGGGAGACTTCAGAGGGCTGTCACACTGGTTAAGACACTTTGCATCTACTGTAGTTGTAAAACCAAAAGGAAAGCTGAAATTGATTTACTGAACTATCAAACAGTTTTTAAAAATAGGATACACTGGTATACACAGCATTGTGCTCTGAACTCCAGAAATGTGGATGTCTAAATATGCTAGGATTTAAATACCCCCAGAGAACATAGCCCCTGAGAGAGCATCCCCATAAAGCTTTTTATTTCCTCCTGTAATGCCCATTTAATAATAAAACTTTTGTCACATCAAGAAGAATATGTCCAAGTTGGACTCTCCCCTGGACTCCACTCTAATTTCTTTGCTACATCTCAGGAAACCATAAGGAGTGGAGTTCTCAGGGAGAGCTGGAAAATCAACCACAGAGCCAGGTAGCCCTGCAAGAAGAAATAGTTTCTAGCCTCTCAGTTATCTCGTGTGCAAGTTATGAAAGACGGATGTGAAAGAAATGCTATGTCACCCCCTAATCCCAAACCTCTGGGAATAACATGCCATCTTTTATATATCCTGATGATCTGGACCTCTTCAGGGGTATAGCTGTTCCAGAAATCCTGAGCCGTCTCCTTTCCTAGGTCCCCACATGATACAAACAATATGTGCATATGATGTGGCTGAAGGGAGTGCTAAAAGCTGTGGTCACAGAGCTCATTAAATGACCCACATAGAAATGTCACTCAAGACCATGGCCTGATTAATGCCATTTTCCAAATGAATTAACTGGCCACAGACTTAATCGACCACAGAGGTAGAGATGAGCTAGAGTCTGCTTTAACAATCTTGAATGCTAGAACTCAGTCAAATCAAAGAAAGTTTACATAGCAATCAGATGAAATGTGGTCACGGTCTGCCCCATTTGAGTGACTGACACATGCCTCGCAAAAACCTGAAAAGATTCTGATGATATCAGAGTTGCCTAACTACCGTCTTCTGTCTAGCTAATACTGGAAAGGGTTAATTTCAGAAGGTATGAAATTGATTCAAATGCTTTCCTAAACAAAGTGCTTTTTTCTCTCCCTCTCCTCCCCTCACACATTCCAGAATGACACATTACTTTACCCAACACAAATTACAAGTTTAAACCTTCATCTTTGTGATGAGATTGCCTTGGCAACCTCAAATCCTCTGTAACAAGAGCCACACTAAAGGCGAAAAAAGGGCATAAATGTATTTGTACAAATCAGAATTACAAACCTTTACATGAGTCATCCTCAATTGGCTGTTTGAAAGCTGTTATGTCACTGAAAGTGCAAAGAAATAAAACCACTTTATCCTGTTCGTTTCGAATTGGAGCAATTTTCACAAAGAACCACACAGGTGTCCCTGAAAGGAATATCAAAAGGTTGGTCAGTAATTTGCATTCTCATTGGAGGGGCTATGGAGGCAAAGACTTGGGAATGAAAAGGTACAGATATTAATTCATTTTTAAAAGGTCTCATTCCTTGAGGTGCCAGGTTATCACACCATTGTCTTTTCTTGCTGGAATAAAAACTTTCACAGTGACTACTCGGTGGGGGTTTTCTTCTGCTCAAATAATTTTCCAAGTACAGCTCTCTTAACCCTTGTAAAACAATCAGAAAATCGGTTGAAAATCCCACCTGATCTTATGGAAGAAACTTAGGTACAGAGACCTAAAGACTTACCTTAGGCCACATAGTGGACAGCAAAAAGTAAGGGCCAAGATGGGCACTGCCAACCACGGCCAACAGACCACGCAAACTCAAATTTCAAACTCTATCCATTGCTAAAGGGCCCCCGTGTCAAAATTCACTTCAGGAATTCACCAACTTGGATCATGTGCTCAACCAAGCATGGGTAAGAAACGATTTCTAAGTCCCTCTCCCCAAAATAAAAATCCAAAAGATCTAACACACAATAACAAATGACAAGACACCGAAGAAGAAGAAAAAGATCACCACCATGATTCCCCCAGCAAAGCCTCCTCAGAAAGGGACAGTTACAAGCAGGTTTGGGCTGTGATCACATGAGTGCCTTAGGAAATGGAATGTATTTCAATGTCAATCAACACTCCTGAGCTAAAGTCAGGAGCTAAGTTCTTCCTAAGCATGGCCCTCATCCACAAAAGGAGGTGGGCATGGCTAATCTGACTGGCTCCTCAGACAAGACATCAACTCAAGTATCAATGGACAAATATCTGCACAGTCATTCTCCGGCTCCAGAAAATAATTAGGGAAAGTAAACAAATATTTTCTATCCATGGAGAACATCACAGCAAGAATTACCAATTTATTCTGTGATACAAAGTTAAATCAGATACAAGGCAATGGTATATTCTTCCCTACCAAGTTCTTGTACCCCAGTTCCTAAAAGAACATCTGGCATATAAGAAGAACTTAATAACTCTTTGTTGAATTTTGCATAACTGGGATAATATTTTACATACTACAGGGTGTTTCAAAAGTTGCCATACATGGGAAAAATGGGAAATTGTAGCTAAATGTACCTTTAGTTACAAAATATTACAAAATTTTACAAAATTTTCCCTTTGTATGGAGACTTTGGGGACACCCCATATTTTATAACCATTTTCAAATTAAAATACCAAAACTATTTCCCCATGTTATTAAGTATTAGAGAGCTTCCTAATGCCAGATACTGTGCTCAGTGTTATTTTATAAGATAGAGAGCAAAGAACTCATCGAATCTTCGAGATGAAAATAGATCCCCAAGAGGTCACTTGGGTCTTTTTTGCCTATAATCATACCAAACTGTACACTATACAACATGTACAGTCAGGCATCCCTGATTAACATTAGGCTTAATTAGCCAATCTAACTGAACAATAACTAGCTTGCAGATTTGTCTATACCACTTATTCACATTTAAGTACAAATAACCCTAAAATATACAAAGAGGCAGCAAATAAATCAAATGGAAATAGATTTTCCTTAAATCTTGATTATCTGTGTAATCATCCATAGGTAATTTTAATCTTCTTTCTATTCCCTTTGCATTTTTCAGCTGTCATTCTCTGGGTGCTCTGAGACAACCAACAGATTATAATGTCATCTTAAGAAAAACATGTTTGGAAAGAAAAATCCACCATGCAAAAATCACACATGGCATTTCCAAATCAACAAGAATATGACCTTTGAATTATCCAGTTTTGGGTTACTATTTTCTCCCAGTCCCCTCCTCAGAATTCATGGGATTTTAAACCATTTTCAATTAAACCGAAAACTCAATAGAAAGCATCAACAGCAACTGAGCCTACACCCCTACAAATCTCATTGTCTCCTAGCTGTTAAGACAAAAGCAAACAAATCAAAAAACCATTTTTTTTTCTTTGCTCTAAAGAAAACTTTAAACAGTTTTTCAGATGGTAAACTGGAAAATACCCTTAATTTGTCAAACTAGCAATAAATCAAAGGAGAGGAACTCCACTCATGGTGTCTAATACCAGAGCCTCGTCTTGCTAGAATCCCCAGAACTGTCCCCTCCCGGCTGCAGCCTTAGAAGCCATCACTGCACTGCACAGGCTGGGCCCGTTGCCTGGAAACTTGCTCCAGTTGGGGCTGTGCCATCTCATCTTTACATCCCACTATGACTACTGGGGTTGATAATGCCAACCCACGCGTTCAAGATCATGAAAACCATTATATTAGATGACCCTCTATTCCAATGGCATATTGGGAGGTCTTTTTCACTTGTCCACAGTTCAACCTAATCAAGAATGAACTCTCCCCATTTCAAAAGGTCAATCTGCTTAAAGGTGTGTGTGTCTCTCCAGCAAACTGTGCCCATCGCCTCCTTCCAGAAGTGTTCCTTGATTAAACACCACTCTGACCATTCCTTTTCAATATCTAGATATGTATCTTATATCAAAAATTCATAACAGTCAGTATGTATTGGATTAGAATTCATCTCGAGCTGATCATAGGGGCTTATTGAGGGAGGGAACCTCCTTTTTTCCAATTTGGGGTTTCCCTGTGAAGGAACATCTTTCAAATGTTCACAGGGTTTCCCTGTGAAGGAACATCTTTCAAATCTTTCAAATGTAACTCTCTGGGTTTTGTTCCTGGGTTGGTGATTTGGGAGACAAGGAATAAATATGCGTAGCTTGGCCCCTTCTCTGCTCTGCTCCTCCATTCTATAAATGGAAGGCAAAGGGCAGGAGAGATGGCTTGCTGGAGGAGAACCCTGAAGTTCTTCAGTGCTTCCTGTGACTGGTAGGTAAGTCTTTATCTCTCTCAACCGGTTCTGATCATGGACAGGGAAGGAAAGTGCTATGAAATTGCCCCTCTTCAAACCTTAACAACTGAGGACTGTTTCTTTAAATAGATAATGATCCATTCCAAGGGCAGGGAGACCTGGTCTACTTTCTCCATCTTACCACCCTGCACCTCTATTCCAACGGTATTCAATGCAGTGTTATGGTCATGTGAGGCCATTGTGTCACTCAACTCCAGAGGGTGCCATCGTGAAGCTGTACACCCTACCTCGGCAGGGTAGGCACTTTAGGAATGCTTGCTGAGTTTTAAAAAAAATAATAAATCCTGTTTCCAGTGTCTTCTTGGTCACTCAGACCTGCCTCCGCCCTACATTATCACTACCCAAACAATCTAAGAAAGCAAGTAGAACGGGCTTAAATGTTCATGTTTGGAATTCTTCCAGAGGAAAAGATGAGTCCCTCTTAGGTGACATAGACCAGTATTTCAAGCTTTTCCATTGAAGAGCAAAGGATTTTTATTTAATGAAATATTATTCAAAGTCTCAAGATATGAAACAGTTGCTTCAAGTGAATGTGAACCATCTAGAACCGGGAGCCCCACCCAATCCAGTTTCCCTTCTACCCCTCTGAAAGCCCCAAAGATATCTGGAAACCCTTTTGCTCCATTCAAACAGAGACCTTCCTGCAGGCAGAGGCTGTAGCAGGTGGCCTCCAGAGGTCTCTCCCAGAGCCCAGATTCTGCAGCAGGATCCATTCCATCAAGATACTACAGAGACAATAAATGCACAGATATTTTCACATACATGCACAAAATAAGGAAGAGGAGGTTAAAATTCTGCCTCCTTACCCAAGTGTCTACCATGGAAAACTGAGAAATGCAAGCATCGGATGTCTTGTTTCTGCAAAAAGGACAAAGGATCCCCTATTAAAGAAAGATCAATGTAAAACCCAAGAACGACACAGCATCTGACAACTCTACTGGTGGCAGAGGCTGCTGCTCCTGGGAGAGAGGCTCTTTTGTGGTGGAGAATGCCCAATGGTAGGGCAGTTCCAAACCAGACACCTCTTCTTGGTCACTGATTCTCATCCCTTATATAGCTCCCTTAGGTTTATGCAGTAATAAACCTCACAACCTAACTTGGCTTTGGGGTTCCTCAACCCCAGCAACCTGATACCAAAACAGCAATGCTCAGGTGTACGAAAGAATCTTGGGCCTCTATCAATCTTCCTCCTACCCAGGGCTTCCTCCCAGGTACTCTCTGTAACCAGGCATCTGGGCATCCGGGCCATGTTCAACAGCACCAGGATAGACCAAGCCATTGTGATTGGCTCTTGGGAAGGACCACATGGTGCTGGGCCATTCTGACAGGTCCAGAAACTAGACTTAGGAGTGGTAGCCTGCCCTAGAAAGCAGATCAATTGATCTGGGGTCAAATGTATTGAGACAAGCAACAAGTGCAGAGAGGATTAGACAGCACCAGGAGGAAGCAGTGGCCACTGGACATTAGAACACCCTGATTTAGAGTCCCAAGCCCTGAGTTTGAGCCCTTTCTCTTCATTTATTATGTGTCTTGGGCGCACTAATTTAACTTCTCTCAGTATCAGATTCCTCATTTGTAAAATGGGGATAATGGACCTACTTAATATTAAGTAATAATACCCACATGTCTGACACTCAGGTGCTTAAAACTATTACTTTCCTTTGTTCCTTCCTTTTTACATTCCTCACCTATAAAATTGAAATGCCCAATCTCACTTCACAGGGATGTCTAAATGACTTAAAAAGAGAGTATATCTCAAGGTGTTTAATGAAACTCTGAAGCTGCCTCTGCCCATTCTGAGGGAAAAAGGCCAGTCTCAACCCTAACAAGGAGAAAGCTAGAAAAATAAATGCTTAAGCCTCAGCATAATTAAAATAGCATTGAAGGGCATAAAACAAAACTGAAATAAATGGAGAGAGTTGCATTGCTTGCAGATAAGGAGATTCAATTTTGTAAGATGTCAACCCTCTCCGTTTCATATATAAATCTAATGCAATTTCAATAGGAATCTCAGCTGTTCTTTTGTTTGTTTTTCTTGGAGCTTGATGAATTGAAATTCAATTCAAATATAAAAATAAAGGTGTGAGCAT